TTTGACCAAATCTTTGAGCCAAAAGGAACTTTTCTCACTTTTTTTCTCTTGGAATTTTGGCCTTGTGTCAGGAGCTTGGGTGGTGGTGTGGATTACACAGAGGGCTGCTAACTGTAAGATCAACAGTTCAAAACCACCAGTGGGAGGAAGATGAGGCTTTCTACTCTCATAGAGTCGCAGTCTCAGAAACCCACAGGGGCAGGTCTACACTGCCCTATAGAACAGCAATGACTTAGAATTGACTCAACAGTGCTGAGGTTTTGTTTTTGTTTGGGTCTGTATGCAGGTATGTTACAAAGGCATTTACAGACTTTTTAAGTCCTGGAGATTTTCCAATTAGTTGTAGTCTAGGGATGCTTCTCCTCTTGAACTTCTCTTGTTAATAAACATGATTGACACTGGTTGCATCCATGGGCTCAAACATATGGACAATTGTGAGGATGGTACAAGACTCCCAATTGGGAGGATGGTACAACATACCATTTACAGTGGTATCACATAGTTTTTAAAACCAGATTGCAGGACTGGGCCTCCATTCTGACCCTACGTATCCAAAGTACAATTCAGAAGTCTCAGATGTTAAGCTAAAATGTTTTCTTGATCAAATTGGTTGATTGCATTCAAATTGCTCCTCCTTCCTTCACACCCAATCAAAAGACAACTGGAGGGATTTCCTACCTGACCATCACATACCTAAAATTTATTTTGAGGGTTCCCCACGTGTAATTGCCATTTTAGTAATCAACAAACATTAAGTCTGCCACTTGCAAGGTACCATCTAAAATGTTGAGAACACAAAGATGCGTAAGTCAAGGCTGGCTTTTGACTATACATTCCATTCAAGCATCGTTACACATCTACAGAAATATACCTTTTAAAAAGAAACTGCAAAACACAATAGAATAAGTTTACGAGACATGAAATTTCCCCTTAAAACTGTCAGGTTAAGAACTCTGCAGTAAAAACTAATTGAATGTAGAAATCTTTCCACATTTTCCTTTTTGGGTGCCATAAAGTATAATATAGGCATACCTTGTTTTATTGTGTTTCCCTTGACTGTTTTGCAGACACTGTGCTTGTTTACAAATTGAAGGTTTGTGGCAAGCCCACATGGAGTGAGTCTGCCAGTACTGTTTTCCCTACAAGATGTGCTTACTTCTTCTGTTACATTTTGTCACATTTTGGAAATTTTCACAGTATTTAAAACTTTTTCATAATGCAGTCATATACTCAGTAGACTCCAGTATAGGGTAAACACAATTTTATTTTTATTATTAAATACTTTTATTGGGGGCTCTTCCATCTCTTCTCACAATCTATACTTTCATCCACTGTGTCAAGCACATTTGTGCATACTCCCATCATCCTTTTCAAAGTATTTTCTTTCCACTTGAGGCCTGGATTATCAGCTCCTCATTTTTCCCCTCCCTCCCTCCCTCACGATCCCTTGATAAGTTGTAGATTATTATTTTCCTATCTTCTCTGTCACCCTTCCCCCACTTTTCTGTTGTCCACCCCCCTAGGAGGGGGTTGATCCTTGTGATCGATTTCCTCTTTGTCCCCCCACCTTCCCCTTATCCTCCT